CCTGAGTAAGCAAAAGGAAATAATCAAAGCCATTAAAAAGCAAAAGTTAGAATATTTTGGTCATGTGATGCGACATCCGGAAAAATATGCCGTCCTTCACTTAATCCTCCAGGGGAAGATTGAAGGCAAATGTGGTCCAGGCAGAAGGAGAACATCATGGCTTCAAAACCTAAGGGACTGGTTTGGATGAAACTCAGCAGCACTTTTGCATGCGGCTGTTGACAAAAATAGGATTGCCAACATGATCGCCAACCTCCAATGATGGATATGGCACAAGAAGGAGAAATTACAGAAAAGCAATCCTGAAATCCTTTATAATTTCCGACATTAACAGTAATGCTGTAGTTATAGCAGGTAGCCAGATCAGACAATCTGGGTTAACCCCAAAGAAGCTAATCAGAAGCTAATTAACTCTTGGATGGGAGCAGTTAGGAAAGTTGGGAGAAAACCTCCTTGTTACCAAGACCAGGTGGATGTGACACCCCCCCCCCCCCCCCCCGTTTTCTTGCTGAAGAAGTACCATTTTACAAAGGACAATTCTGATGAACTTTATTGGCATTACAGCTTTGGTTATTTCTCAAATCTGATTTATCCAAACATCACCCCAGATTTCACAACCAGAGATGTCGAAAAAGTTGAATCTGCTTGCCTGTCCGCGGGAGAGAACGCTACTTCAGTAGCTTGAGAGCAGCATTAAAAGGTGCCAGATTCTCACAAGACCGGAGCCATTTCTGCACATTGGCTGGGACGGCCTCCGTGCCCCCCGTCTGCTGAAGGGCGCACCAGGTCACAATGTCTGCTACCGTCAATTCGTTGCCCACCAACCAGGAGGTCTTGCCGAGGGTCGCATTCATGCCCCGCAGAACTGCTGCCTTTTCTTTATTGCTCCCTCCTTGGAGTTGGAAGAGGGCGGTGTCGACCCAGCTGTCTATCAACGTGGCTGTGATTGTGTTATGCTGGGTGCCGAGCAAGGAGAATAAGAACCTAGCAATGTTCCCTTCGCCTTCGATGGGGCACATGGTTTGAATGTTGAACTTCATCTGGGGTTTTGGCACTGGAAGGATAATCCCAATGTAGCATTAGACAATGATGACGCTTGGAGAGCTGGTATATACAGGTAGTCCCCGACTTACGACCATGATGGAGTCCAAAATTGGGCCGAGCAAGACAGTGGGGCTGTGCCCCATTTTGTGACCTTCCTCGTCACAGTAGTTAAATAAGTCACAGTTCTTAAATTAGTAGCACGGTTGTTAAGTGAATCTGGCTTCCCCATTGACTTGTCAGAAGGTGGTAAAATGTGATCACATGACCCCAAGACTACAGCCCATGTCCTAATTTTGATCATGTGACCATGGGGATGCTCCAATGGCTATGTGTGAAAAATGGTCATAAGTCCCTTTTTTCACAGCCCTTATAACTTCAAAGAGTCACTAAAATGGTTGTAAGTCAAGGACTTCCTGTATTCACCATTCCTTCTCAACACATTTAGGATGTCAAATGTAGTTGGAAGAGACATTTTCCTGGCTGCCAATCTTTTATTTTTCACATAAGATACTGCCTGCCAGCTAACAAATACCTCAAAATGAAGCAAGCAACAAACCTATCTTCAAGTACCCGCCACCTTTTCCATCTTACCTCAGATTTATTTAAAAGGTTTATACAGCCACGCAACTCCCAAGCAGTGTATGTCCAATAAAGACCCATTCTCTTCTTACCAATTTAATAAATAAAATAAAGAAGAGGAGGGCCTAACTCTGTAAGCAGCTATTCATAAGCGCACACGGACTTACCATCTTTCCAAATTAAAGTAACGCCCAACTGGTATTCGTGGCGCGATTGTTTCCTTGTCTGCTCACCAAAGCATTTGAGCAGTTTTTCTGGCACGTTTTTCACAGATGAATGCGTATGAACAGTTGAAAGTATCTTGTACTTCTCACACATCATACTGTGGAGTATTAACAACGACAGCGGAGGGAAGGAGGGGTTCGCATTGATCACGATGTCCTTCAGCGCACCGTAATCCTGCTTTAAAACAAACTTGACTTCAGTCTGCTGTTCAGGAGATTTCCACTTTATTCTAAAGCTTTTCCACATATTATAATTATTATCCTGCAGGGTTTTTTAGTACTTTCCACAGATTAACTGCACTGCAGTTCTACACTGCCTATTCATCTTCCACAGTTTAAACCAGCTGTGAAGAAGAAATGGAATAAGTGATATAAGTGGCTCTCATAGGTGACAAAAGATGAACCAGACATTGCACATGTCAGCTGAGAGCTTTAAAGTGCTAGGTCTCCATGAACGTTACGAGAATAGAAAAATGGATGGATCTCCGTCCTAAACACATGGTGAACTGGATCTAGATTTAGTCATACTTAGAAATTGTACATTATGCACCACTACATTTGAACACCTATAAACACATACAATACTTGGAATATGAAGCAATATTTTCCGAACTATTCCAAATTCTAAATCATACATTTATCCGTACCAGTTAAACACTACTGATAGAATTACTGATAAACTATATTTAGGCAACAATATTCTGCAGAGGTTGGAACTATATAGAAAATCTGTTCCAATGCAGATATTCCAAGCCAGGAGATGAGACTCAAATGCCGCTCCCAAATAAAGGAGAAGGAGCTGGTTATTTTTACTTGGCTATTAATATACAAAGTGGTATTTATCACTAACAACAGTTTCATTGCTCCTGCTAGCTGAACTATTTGTAAACAATTAAAAGCAAACAACTTCCTCTCATTTTAGGCCAACTTTGAACAATTAAGTATACCCTTTAGTTCCTTAAAATTTAACCCATCAGTGTTAGCTTGGGACAAAGTTACATTACTATTTGGCTGATACTTTTGCAATGTAACTTTGTAGAATCAGCATCACTAAATGTGTCCCAAAGGGGCTTTTTTAAAAGGCAACTGGACTTTTGTTTTTCTTTGAAGATGCTTTGCTTCTCATCTAAGACTCTTCTTCAATTCTTCAGTCAGAACTGAAGAAGCTTCTTGGATGAGAAACAAAATGTCTTCAAGTCCAATTGCCTTTTGTAAAAGCACCCTTGGCACAACCATGACCTGGATGAGTGAGAATCTCCACAGACATCACTGAATGTCCTTTTAGACAGACTGCAACTTGTTGCGCAACAAAAAAGCACGCCAACTTTGGTTAAACTATTCAGTAGGCAGAATGCAAATTTCAGAATCTGACTTGCCTTCCCAAGTAGACTATCGAGTTCTGCAGAGCTGACAGTTAGAGAAACATGGTCATCTGTTTGAATTATGTTAGTGGCATCGAAGTCCGCATCTGGTGTCTGGATCATTTTTGAGAGGCCATCCACAGCAGCTTTCAATTCATACAAACGTTTCAAGATCTCTTCCTGGCGGAATTCAAGCGCCTGGAGTGACAGGCCAGCTTCATCCTGAATGAAAATTAAGTTAGAATTCACTTCATCGTTTTGTATCATGTCAGAACAAAACCAGGTATTCTGGCTATCCCTTTTTATATGCAATTTATATTTTTATACAGATATGCGGTGGCTCAGGGGCTAAGACGCTGAGCTTGTCGATCAGAAAGGTCGGCAGTTCAGAGATTCAAATCCCTAGCGGAGTGAGGTGAGCTCCCATTACTTGTCCCAGCTTCTGCCAACCTAGCAGATCGAAAGCAGGTAAAAAATGCAAGTAGAAAAATAGGGACCACCTTTGGTGGGAAGGGAACAGCGTTCCATGCGTCTTCGGCATTTAGTCATGCTGGTCACGTGACCATGGAGCTGTCTTTGGACAGCGCTGGCTCTTCAGCTTTGAAACGGAGATGAGCACTGCCCCTAGAGTCGGGAACAACTAGCACATATGTGCAAGGGGAACCTTTACATTTACCTATATTTACGTTAGTTATGTTTCTAGACCACCCATTTTCCTCAAGGAGGGTCTGTAGGGCATTGATATTCAATGGGTTTCAATAAAGGAGAATATTTGTAGCTCAAGGTTGAAATGAGGGCTTCTTGGTGCTCTCTGAGCTTGTTTTTTCCCCCCATATGTTTCATTACCCAAACTAGGTAGCATCATCAGTGCTAGAAAGAGTGGAGATTGCAGGGAGGAAGAGGAGGAAGTAAGGAAGAGGGAGGAAGAAGAGGATTGTGGAGTCTTTGGTGCTCCCTGAGCTTGGTGATTTTCTTGCAGATGTTTCATTACTGAAACTAGGTAACAACATCAGTGATAATTACCCATCTACTAGCACTGATATTGTTACCTAGTCTGGGTAATGAAAGGTCTGCAAGAAAACCACCAAGCTCAAGAGACCACCAAGGACCCCCTTCAATGGGTTTATATTAGAGCTTATCCCAAATTCTAATTCTCTTTGTACCATTTGATTTTTTTTGTAAGCTGCTGTAAATATAATACACATTTGACAAGATCACCAACATACACAAGCAATCATTGGGAAAATGAGAAAGTGAAAATGAGAAAGTGAAAGTGGAAGGAAGGCAGCCTGATCAAAGTGGGGTCAAAAGTGGTGGTGGGGGAGAGTCCCTTCTCCTACCCCGGCCTGTGTTGGGTCCCAATAGGTCTCCGAGGAAGGCCGCCTCTCCAAAGCTTCCAAACTACAACTCCCACCATCCTGGGCGGGGGGGGGGGGGGCTGATGGGACCTGGAGCCAGGCACCTTCAGGAGCATCGGCACGATTTAAAGTAGACTCGAAAGAAGTGGATTGTAGTCTGAAAGAGTGGCGGCTTGGGGCAGGGCAAAGAGCACGGGGCGAGGAGAATGGGGATTGTAGTCCGAATAGGGAGTGGATTCAGGCGGGACTGAAAACGGGGAGGGTGAGGATTGCAATCTGAAAAAAGAATGGCTTGAAGCGGGATGAAAACCTGGGGCGGGGGAGGATGGGGATTGTAGTCCGAATAGGGAGTGGACTGGGTCAGGGAGGAAAACGGGATGGGGATTGTAGTCTGAAAAAATGGTTTGGGGCAGGGGAAAATGGGGACTGTAATCCAAGGGGGAGTGGCTTGGGGCAGGGAGGAAAACTGGGGCTGGGGAGAATGGGGATTGTAGTGCGAATAGGGAGTGGACTGGGTCAGGGAGGAAAACGGGGGCTGGGGAGGATGGGAACGATAGTCCGAAGGCGGAAACCTTTCCAAAGCGTTCTCGGGGCCAGGGGGAGCCGCGCCCTGCCTGTCACCCACCCAGCCAGCCCAAGTGAGACGCCACAGGGCCGAGCGGCTCCTACCTGCTGAGGCGGCGGCGAGGAGGCAAGGCCGGAGGCCCCGTCGGCCTCGGGCGGGCGGTGGGCGCATCGCACGCGGTACATGCAGGCGGGGAGGTGCTCGGCCAGAACCGCCGGGCCGGAGCCGTCCTGAAAGGGCCTCACCTTGTACATCGGCATCGCCGCCGATTTTCCTCACGCCACGGACCACTGACGCGCAGGCGCGGCCCCAGCGCGCGCGCCCGCCTCCCATTGGCGACGCCCCGCCCGTCGCGCCTCCCATTGGCCGACTTGCTACGGCCGCCGAGGCTATTGGCCGAAAGAGGCGGGGCTTCCCCGTCGGCCTCGTGCGGTCTTTTTGCTGCCATCTGATGCAAGCTCCGAAGGGAAGGGGGTATAGTAGATGAGTGAAGCGGCCCTTGACCACAGACTTCGGGTTAGAAAGCGAAGCCATCTCCTCAATGCGGGGAAAGGGGGGGCTTCTATCTATCCAGATACGTTTCTTGGGATCAAGGAGAGGAAGGTTCATGGGACGCCTCTGTAGCCCCTGCTGGGCTTAACTTCGCCTCCTCTCCAAACAGGTAGAGTCCTCTGAGCTACTGGGGGAGTCACCATTCAGCGTGTCATAGAATATTCTATGAATTCAGCAAACCAGGGTAGCGTTTCGTGTGAACACAGCTCCAGAGGATAAGCAAAAGAACGAAGGAAAAGTTGCTTGAGAAACACCGCTTTGTATATTTCAGCTACAGGCGCATTCCATGGCGTACCCGAAGTGGTCGTTGTTCACACCTACTCCCTTCCCCTATATACTAAGCTTCGCTAAGATTCCGCTCCACCTTCCTTTTTACTCCCCGATTGGTGAGTGGATGGACCAATGAGAAAGCCTCGCCCCCGCTGATTGGAGGAAAAGGATTTTACCCAGGAGACATCGCGAGGGACTGGAGGGAATTCGCGGAAGGAAGCCAGCCTGTCTCCCCCGAGGAGAAGCGGGGCGCCTCGGCTACGGGCTCGAAGAGAGTCGGGGGGCTCGACTAGAGTTCCGGCCCGATCTTTCATTCCCTTCCCTGAGATGATTGGCGGGAAAATGGGCGGGAAAGAACCGGACCGTTCATTTGCGTGCCATTTGCATATTTCATTTGAAAAGTGAGCAGGCAGCAAAGGGTTAATTGCATCAGCGAACAGAATGGATTTGACTCCAGTGTAAGTGTATTTATTGCATTGCATTGCTTTATTTTATTATTATTTTATGTTATTTTAATTGGAATGGAATTTCTGTGCAAATGTAATTATTGCATTGCTTTATTGTATTTTATTATTATTGTTATTTTAATTGGAATGGAATTTCAGTGCAAATGTAATTATTACATTGCTTTATTATTATTGATGTTATTTTAATTGGAATGGAATTTCAGTGCAAATGTAATTATTGCAATGTTTTATTTTATTTNACTTGGGAGTAAGGCCACAGGTGGATGGTGAATGGCCCCTCCCAGAAGGAATAAAAGAGGAGCGAAAGGGGAGTGGAGTTTGCAGGAGACCATTAGTTCATTCTTGCCAAGTATTGCGGTGTCTGAATGATATCGGCCTGGCCACTCTCCAAGCCTGGCAAAGGTTGGTAATAGTGAACTATCTTGAAAGATGGTGGGAGAGGAAACACTTTGCTGGAGAATAATTCTCTATAAATTAAATAAAAGGGATTTATCAAGATGAGGATTCACTCGGCTTCGTGCTGCTGGGGAAGTCTAAGTCAGAAAACTACGTAAACAGCAAAGAGGTAGGTGACCCTCCCTGAAAGACTTACCTGGTAGTTCCCATGTGAACTGGGGAGATTCCTGTGTAATAGGCAGAGAACAATAAAGTAGACGACTTAAACCTTATACCTATGGTCTCTGGGTGTTTGTGCCTGTCGCCACTGGAGAGGACACCACCTAGAATAGAAAGGGGTCTTTGAGAGCCTTCAAGGCCGACCCCTGCTCACAACTCTTGTTTTGACACTTTCAGTGCATCTAAACCTTTCACACCAAGTGTTCACTGAAATGCGACTTGAAATTTCTGAAATGCATTTGTTTTATACCAATAAAAGAGGATATTTGTAGCCCAGGGTTGAAGTGAGGGGTCCTGGGTGCCCTTTGACCTTGTTTTCTTGCAGATGTTTCATTACCTGACCACGTAACGTCATCAGGGCTAGGAGGGAGGGGGGAGTTTGAGGAGAGGAAGAGGAGGAGGAAGAGAACCAAGGAGCCTCTGGTGCTCTCTGAGCTTGCTTGCTTTCTTGCAGACATTTCGTTACCCAACTAGATAACATCACCAGTGCATTGGTTTTGTTTTCACAGCCTCGAAATATCTTTCTCCAAGGACCTAACCACCACGTGAAAATAGGGGACTTTGGGTTAGCCTGTAGAGATATTATAGAGGAAGATACAACCCAACTGCTATGTGCAGAGAATAATTATGGTAATTATTCCTCTCTAACAGTGCTTTGATTATTGATTTGCAATGCATGATTTTTTNCGGCCTCCGAGATGAGGGCTCTGCGTTGGAGGCAGAGAGGGAGTTAGGCAGCAGTGAGACAGAAGAACAGCTGGAGCCTGTTCCCAGTGTGTGCCTGTGCAGAGCTGCCAGAAGACAAGAACAACCAAGAAAGGAGGGTCGACTTTGGAGTAAAGCCACACCTTGGAGGTGATTGGCCCCTCCTATAGGAAACAAAAGAGGAGTGAATGGGAAGGGGGCTTTTGCAGGAAACAATTCGTTCCTTCGGTCGTTTCGAGAGTGGAAAGTTCTGCGCCAAGTTTTGCCTTGCCCTGCTTTTGGAAACTGGTTATCTGGCAGCTCTCCAAACGAGATAAGGTTCGTGTTGATAAACATTCCTCGGAAAGACTCTTCGCTAAAGCCTGGCTGATTGTGAATGAAAGGAATTCACAGTCATGTAAATAAAAAGGGGTTTTGCAGGGATCAAGACTTTGATTCGTGCTTTCTAAGGAAGCCTGGGTCAAAATGTTCAGGTCAAGAATCCCATTTAATGACCCTTTGGAATAAAATCCGTAATTCTGAATTAAATGTCTTTTCAGAAGACATTTGGCTTTGGACACGCTGCATAAAATTCTATGTACAGGTAGCCCATGACTTACAACCATTCATTTAATGACCGAAATTACAAAGGCACCTGAAATAGTAACTTATGGCCCTTTAAGAACGTTGTATCATGGTCACGTGATAAGAATTCGGACACTTGGCAACTGGCTAGTATTTGTGACGGTTGCAGTATGCCGTGTGTGAGAGAGAGAGAGAGAGAGATGTGATCTCCTTTTGAGACCTTCTTGCAAGCAAAGTCAATGGGGAAGCCTGATTCACTTAACGACCTTGTTATTAACGTTAACAACCGCAGCGATTCAACTTAACAACCGTGGGGAAGGAAGGTCGAAAAACATGGGAGAAAACGCACTTAGCCCATGTTTCACTTAGCACAGAAACGTGGGGCCCATGGTCGTCGTAAACCAAGGACCACCTGCATTCTGACGTTTTAAATTCTTTTTAAAGTTTTTTTTAAAAAGATTGAGCGGAGAGATCGCTTACCTGGCACAGAACCGTTTGGTAAACTGAATGGGACGGCAGTAACTCGTGAAGCGTTGACGCATTGTTGGCCATGATCGCGTCAATTATTTTTTTGTCCGTCGATTCGCTTTCCCATTTGCGGGGACGTCTTATCAAATTACCCATGTTACGCGGGGAGGGAAGTGGGCAGTTTTGCGCGGGGAGGAAACGTATTTGGAAACCTTACCTTGGAGCCATTGTTCCTTTGTGATGGTGGTGCTTGGTTCTGGAACCCGTTAGGAGATGATCTCATTGGTTTAAAAGGTTGCAGGCCAGCAGAGAGAGAGAGATGCCATGTCCATCTCAGGCTTACATCTCCACTTGTTGGGAGAGCAACCATTGGAGCAGGGGTCAAGTGAGGAATTAGCCTGGACTCTCTACGTGTTGTGGTTCGCCGGCGGCCTGCAGAGCTGGCAGCAGATTCGGACAGTGAGGANGGGAGGATTTCACCCCTGCTCCTGCCCTATCCCTCCTCTGACCTCTGTGAAATATCTCTTCCAGCATTGAAGCATTATACTTCCAAGATCCAAGATTTCTCTGATCTCATCAGCGTGGAAACGTTTGGCTTTCGCGGTGAAGCTCTGAGCTCGTTATGCGCGTTAAGGTAAGACGCTTGTCCGCGCGGGAAGCGTGCTAGCTAAAACAATTGGTGAATCTTAAGCTGGCTTCATTCATTCCCATTTCTGTACATGCACACAAGTTCACACCGAGTGCCACAGGAGCGTACACCGAGAATGAAGCAGCGTGAATTTGCACCTCTTGATCGTAATCACATATTGCCTCTGAATTGTACAAAATTTCTGCCTATAGAAGCTGGAATCTATGCAGTGGTTTGTCCTTGATCTTCTTTCCTGAATGAAGACCACAGAGAAACCCTTGCATCGATCCCAGCTTCCATCTCAGTTTTTCTTATACGGAACAATTTGTACAAATTCAGAGGCAAAATTCCACCGAGATCAAGATAAGTGCGGGCAAATTTACGCTGCTTCATTCTCCATGTAGACTTCTGCAGCTAGAGAGGGCTTTGTACAGAAATGGGAATTAATGCATTGTATAAATGCAGGAACACTTTCCCCATTGACATTTTTGCCAGTAATGATTATACAGGTAGTCCTTAAGTTATAACCACTCATTCAGCAGCCATTTGAAGTTATGATGGTGTTGAACCAATGGTGGTTACGCCCAGTCCTCAGCGTTCCGGCGGTCCCACCACCTGTGTGGCGAATGTGAGTCTTTCCCTGCCTCTGCGTTTCCTTACTAACCATGAAAATGATTGTATCCCTTTGCACACAGCAACGTTTCCATTGTCACTTGTCACAAGTCCGCCAATATTGGGACCCGGCTGGCGTTTGATCACAGCGGGAACATCACCCGGAGAGTCCCGTTGTCCCGGCCACCAGGGACCACCGTCAGCATTCAGCAGCTGTTTCATACTTTGCCGGTCCGACACAAAGAATTCCATCGTAACATAAAGAAGGTAAGAAGAGCGGCGTGTTGGCCTAGAGGCGGAGCTCTCGCCTCACAGTCGAGAGGCTGTGAGTTCGATCCTAGGTAGAGGCAGATATTTCTCTCTCTGGGCACACTGAGAATATATCTGCTGAGTATAACTCTGCACTGGCAACAGGGAA